TTCTTCTTCTTCTTCTTCTTCTTCTTCTTCTTCTTCTTCTTCTTCTTCTTCTTTCTATCTTGACATTGACGACACGTTTGGCGATGACGTTGACCACCAGAGTGAACGCAGAAGTGACAAAATAGCGGCCAGGTTCTGCTACGATCCGGACCCCCGAAGAGGGCGGGGAAGTACTGTTCAAGGGCACTGCTCACTTCTTGGGCCACCTGACAGATGACATAGATGACGGCATGGTCATGTGCGAGTGTGGTTGGTGGGTGCTCTGGTGTGGTTTTTGCCTTCTCTCCAATCAAACATCTATTGTATCTGTTTCTCGTCCTTCATTTCTTAAAGATGTATGTCACTCTCTACATCACCTCTAATCTTCGGTGTTTAAATGACATAACTGTATAGCAAGTGTCGCAAATCTCTGACTATAACAACAACAACAACAACAACAACAACAACAACAACAACAACAACAACAACAAAAACAACAACCAAAAAACGAACAAAAAACCGTGGTCACACTTTAATCGTGTGACTGGAAGAGATAGGCCAACGCGTTTTTCCTTCACTGCCAAGGTTGAACTGCGAGACCTCAGTAAATGTCAAGAGTTAGCGTGCACAGCAGAGTAGATAGTAGAAAATTGTCTGTGAGCTAATTTTTCGTGCTTTCTTGTCATTCAAACCGGAAGTTGGTGTTTTCTTTCTTTCTTTCTTTCTTTCTTACTCCTGCGCGCTGAACAGTAGTTCTCCAGAAACCATTTAATTTACGTGGTAAAAGATGGGGTTAAACACCACCGAGGTATCAGGATCTGTCTGTTATCTGTTATTGTATACTGCCAGTTCGTTGGCTCTCCCCCCCCACCTCCCTGTTGTTTTTAGAGGACTTACTTTTGTCTTATCAAACTGCATTCCCTCAGTCCCTGAGCGCTTATCCACTCCCTGCATTATGTTTGTAACCTTTTAACCTCTGCCTGACCTTATCGCTTTCCCTATGTGGGTGGCAATGTATTCATTCACTGCATTCGAGACCGCCTTCCCGAGGAGTCCTGCTTCTGCCCTGTCCTTGTTTCTGAGGGAATACACCCCTTTCTGACCTCTGCACACCTCTTGCGACTATCTTTCAAACCATTCGTCATCAGCAACCATGTTGTCAGCTGAGATAAAGGATCTGAATTGTGCACTCGAGTCATGTGTTTAACGGCTGTGGTTAGATAAGTGTTTGATAGTAAAACTGTGACATGTGTACTGTGCATGCGCTCACTGGGTGTTCCACCAGAGGGAAAAGCTGTTGTGCTTGTTATAACTATTTCAGAGGCAAATAAGATTGAGGTTCATCAACCGGTCAGTCAGTTGCGGGGAGCGAGGTGAAGAGAGGACAGGGAATGACTCTGACACATGTACAAAAAAAACCCAACCCAACACACACACATACTCAGGGGAAGGGGGAAGACAGAGGTTGATAATAGATAGATGGATAAACCGATATATTTATATACATACACACACACACACACACACACACACATATATA